ATAGTGCACAAAAAAAAATAATAGACAATGTAGTGAATATAATCAATTGATCAATTTTTTTTGAATGCAATTGATGAATTTGAATGTAAAGAATTTTTTACATTGGAGAAAAATAAAGACAATATAACTAATAAGATTACTTATCTTAATAATTTATTGATAATGAATAAAGACAATATAACTAATGAATTTATTTCTGTTATTTAATTTATTTATAATGAATAATTTTTTTTATGAATAAAGACATTATAGACGCATAATTATAAATTAAAGAATTGCATATGTATTATTTTTTGTTGTAGTTACTAAATTATTATTTAATTTAATAAGAGAAAAATAGAGTACTAATTATGCCAACTTTGATTGGGATGGGGTTCGAACCTAAGACCTTTCTTATTGAAATCAATCAATGAGTAAGTTAAATAGTTAACGGTGAAACAACAGAAATTAACGGAAAAGATAATATTTAACGGAAAAGTTAACAGATTATCATATTCATTAAGGATAAATTAGTAAATCTCAAGAAAAAATTATAATCTGATCAATCTGAGCCATTCATTTGATTAAAAAATTTGACCGCCATTTTTTCTACCCATTATAGGTCTAATTCTCTTGGGCTCTTATTAGTATAGTAGATAGTAGATAGAAAATAAATAAATTAGTAGCTACAACAAAAAAATAATGCATATACATTTAATTAATTTAGAATTAGATGTCTATAATGCATTTATTTAAAAAGAGATATAATTTCATTAATTATATTATCTTTATTTTCTACAATTCAAAGATTCCTTACGTTCAAATTTATTAATTTATTATATTCACTACATTGTCCATTATCTTCTTTTTACATTATCTTGTAATTAAATATCACATTATTTCTTCAAAAAAGATATCAAATTTATAATACAAAATATGTTATATTTATTTATTTACCAAGTATTTTACACAAATATAATATTAATATTTTGTTGAATACTTTCACATGATAACCTACAACACACATCTCATAACACATGAAACATGTAGGGGAAAAACTATCACTACCAAACATCAGTAGGTGCTTGTAAGATAAAGAGTTTATAGTACAACTAAAAATCTAAGATCTCAACCATATACGCAACAAGACAAATCTAAAATTTTCTACACCATAATCTAGTTGCATGATGAATCTCTCTATGCTACCACCAGTAACACAATTGGACATGACACAGTACTAATAAAATTTTTAAAAAAAAAAAAAAAAGGACATGTATTGAAGATGAAGACAATGCCAATGGTACCCAAAAGAGAATTAAGAAGAATTAGAAAAATTTAAATTAAAAGTAGTATTTATTTAGACTATCGCTTTTAGGCTAGCGTTATTATACAGTTGCAAACATTTATTTTAGTGACAATTATAATCAATCTCTCATATATTATCTTGTATTTATATACTTTAAATTACCGATTTAATTAAACAAACTTAATATTTATTTGTCTATGCATGAACATTTCCTATATAATATTACATTGATATATACTTTGTAATACTTATTTAAAAATAATCATTGAACATTATCTCATTCGTGTAAAAAGACTAGTTATTATATATATACACACAGAGACACGCGGAAGTTCAAACTTGTTTATGGGGGAAAAGTAAGAAAACATGCAATAAGACACCAATACTACAAAGATAATTAGAGATGAGGAACTAATACATGGAACAATCTACACCAATCACTCTCACACGTTTTTGATGTACCATTCACGAAACAAATTGATCTTTGGCAATATGTGTGTGAAACCGGCCTTTTAAAAAAAATTAAAAATTAAAAATTGCAGTATGACTATATCATTTTTATACTTATAATCAAGGTTGAAAAAATCGCTAGCGCCCTCTAGGCGTCTGAGAACCGTCTTGAGCGCCTAGAGCGATTAATCGGCGCTTAAAGCGCCTAGGTCGTCGACCGCCTAGCGTCTAGGTCGCCGACCGCCTAACGCCTAGGCCCGATTTTTACAAAAGTACTTATAATAATATTGTAATATTCTATCTATATTGCAAATATTTGATCACCACAATATTTAGTAAGTAAATTTTCTCTCTTAATCTTAACTTCTTTCAACCTGATTTTTTCCTCTCATATTTCTTTTCTCTGATGAAGAACATTATTTTTCTTCCTAAATTTAACTTCTAATATTCATTTATGTTGTTTTAATAACAAACTAGTATTTGTCCCGTGCGATGCACGGAAAATATGTTATCAAAATATACCCTATATGAGGTTTATTCATATATAAAATTTTTGTTATTTAATAATTATTATGTGTGAATTCCTATGATAAAATTATGAACATAAATATATTTACAATTAAAATAATATTTAAGGTGGGTGATTACTACAAATCTTAAATTATATTAAAAATTTAGTACATTGTATTTAATATTACAAAATTTTAAGAACTTAGTAAACTACAATAATAATTGAATTACAATTTTAGAGTCACCACGGATCAAAATTTTTAGACCTTTGAGATTTCTAACTCTAGATGTAGCAACATACAATTGACCTTTAAAGACCAAAATCACAATCTTAGTTCGAACATTGATTTTTTCTTCCAAATACTATCGATTTAAGTGTGTAATCAATAAAAGATGAGAACTAATAATTCGAGAATATAATCTTAATGTTACTAAGCCTACTTCATGTCAATTAACTTGGAGAGTGTTGTTGGATAAAATGGATAGTATCCGATGAATCCACGAATAACGCATCCTTGTCTCGGTAGTCCTCAATACGCACATCAACAATCTTAAATATTAGGTCACTTAGCTATGTTATATATTAATTTCAAACTTATGGACTTTGGGGTTGCATGCATGCTTCTTAAAGCCATATGATCTTGTGAAAATTAAATATTGGTATTAACAACATTTAATTTTCACAAGACCATATGGCTTTATTATATATAGGATTTTATGTGTCCATATAAATAAAACTACTAAAATATTATTCATTATGTAATTAAATTAAATAAATGACAAACGAGATCAATACATCATGAATATTGAATAAATGTAAAATTAAAAAGAATTTATGAGTGTACACGAAAATAAATATAATGTCTAAATTATTTTATTTAATCGTATTAGCAATTTACAAGGGAACAGGAAAAGAAGAAAACAAAATTAAAAAAAAAAAAAACAATTATAAATATACAAGATATAAGTACATACAAGTTATCACTACAATTAATTATATTAACACATTTTCTATTCATTTTAAAGCGTAATCATTATTGACCTTCATGTAATTTTTATATAATTTATTTTGTTAAAAACAAAAAGTCTATAAACTAACTATAGTGATATAGAATTTTTTTTGGTTTAAAATAATTATTCCGTTTTTTTTTTTTTTTTTGGAGAAATAGGATTCTCATTAATATCATTATTATATTAACTTATCAAATAAGGTAATAGATCAAATTAATTTGTGCACTACATTCACCTAAATTTACCAACAATTTACCACCCAAGAACTAATTGTTCCACTTGTTCACCTAAAACTTAGGGGGCGTTAGTTATGTCCGAGTGATACCCAAATTTTATTTTTGATATCCAAAAACTTAGGGTGATGTTTTTGACCCCGATATCCGAACCAAATTTAATTCACATATGTTCAGTTCTGTGGAATTATTTCCGGTTAGTTTGGATATACCCAAAATTTTATTTTTATCAATGTTGAGTTTTTTTTTTTTTTCTAATATTTTTACTATTTTTGTATTTATATTTTTTCATATACTATCAAATTAAAAATAACACAACATACTAATAATTAACTAAGAGACTTTTGAAAATTAATATATTATTAATTATGAAATACATGTAAAACTAAATATATAATTTATATTATTATATTTATAATAAAATTTTGGTTAATTTGGGTTTCGGGTGGGATTAAAATTTTAACACCAGATATCCAAACCGAAATTATAATTGAATATACCAAAATTTAAAATATCTAAACAAATAACTATTCGGATTTACCCGAAATTTAAAATTCAATTTGAATTTCTGGTGTTAATTTGGATCATTTGAATTATACCAACCCCTACCTAAACGGTAAATTATGTTATAGACCGCGGGTCCACAATGCATTGTGGTTCAGGCATCAACACGGTGTCGTTTCTTTTAATGAAAAGAAACGGTACATGTTCTGCGCCGTCCGCAAAAAGTAACTTTGATTGTAGAACATATTTAGTTTCATTTTGTATACACTGCAGTTTCATTTTAACACAATTGTAGTTTCATTTCGATATAACTACAGTTCGATTTGATATTATACACTCAAATATGTGAAATTGTTATTCAGTTTTATTTTATATACGCTATAATTTCATTACAACACAACTACATTATCATTTCGATATAACTACAGTTTCATTGCACAATATACACTCGTTATTCAATTTTATTATTATATATACACACTGCAGCTTCATTTCAATACAACTACAATATCATTTTGATATAACTACAGTTTCGCTGGACAATATACACTCAAATATGTGAAATTGTTATTCTGTTTCATTTTGTATACATTGCAGTTTCATTTCAATACAATTACAGTTTCATTTCAATTTAATTGCAATTTCATTTGATAATATAAGAATAATACGTGAGGCAGTGTCAGTTTAGATACACTGTAATTTCATTTGGTAATTAATATACAAAAAATACGCGTTCCGTTAAACTGTAACGGCTACCGTATTTTTACTTTAAAAAATTGAGTCGTTTTTGGACCATGATTCACGATATAATTATTGTACCTAAACTTCTATTAAAATATTGAATCTCCAATTCTAAGTGCCCACACTCGGATCCGATTGAGAACCCAACCTAAACTTAGGTTTATGAGTGCTTGATTTGATTTACCAAATAAGTTAAACCCGTTGCCTAAAACAATGGGGTGGAATTGCTTTCGTGGTACGATAAGGTTCGTATCGTAAAAGAATTGTGAACAGTCAATTCAATACTTAAAGAAAAGAGGTCAAGTTGTCATTCACAGAGTGGGTTTAACAGTACAGCACTTCAGCAGGAGTATACTTCAGTCAGAAAACAGAATAATGGCTCCAAATCAACTCTGAGTTTTCAGACCGACAAATTTCTCTGTAATGCCCGACGTGCTGGAAAAATTGAACCTTTCTCACCGGGAGAACTTCAGGGCGGCATGGGAGTGTACTAGATCCTTCTGGTCAGGTATTTGTCTTCAATCTTTCTTTTTGAATATCAATATGAACCCAATAAATAAATCTTGAAAACCAAGATTAGAAAGAACTGATTTTGAATTTCTCCAGATCCTGTTCTGTATTTCCCTATTTGATTTTGCAGGATGATTTCTGGGTTTTGAGGAGCAGAAGTTTGGGTTCAAAAAAAACACAAACTTTTACTGGGGTTAAGAGCTGAAATTGTGGTAAAATTAGCAGCTTTCCCAGTTTTGATTCTCAGGAATCCTTCTAAGTGAGATAATTTATGCTGTGAGTGATGGGTGTGGCTTTGTGGAGATTGCTGTCTCACTGATGTCCCATTGTAGAAAACATATAGAATTGAAGCTTACATACTTGGTCTTTGTTCATTTTATTTGTCCATAAGTTTAGCTTTCCTTAGCTGAATCCCATTTGGATGTGAGGAATTAACTATGTCTGTAATTTCAGAAAAGAGTATGGTTCCATCAAGATTTCTTTCATGCCTAATAGCCCTATCTTTGTTTCTTTTAATCATCTCTTCTTTGTCCCTCCTTCAATTCAGTACCAGTTCTTTCCTACCCAGTTCGGTTTTCCAGTTTATTCTCGTTAACAATAGCACTTCGGGTTTTTGGAATTCAAACATTAGTGGTGGGGAAATTGGAACGCCTTTCTTTCCTTCTGAAAATGTTAAAAACTCAGAGGCGGTTCTCTCGACCCCCTCTCCCAGTAACAGCCTGGGTAGTCAAGAACCTAACAGAAAGTGTGAAGTGAATCGGGCTCTTCTTCGAGTTTATATGTATGACCTGCCTCCTGAATTTCACTTTGGGCTGTTAGGTTGGAAGGGAAGTAAGGACGAAATGTGGCCTAATGTGAATGAACCAAGCCAAATTCCACGATATCCTGGTGGCTTAAACTTACAGCATAGCATAGAATATTGGCTCACACTTGACCTATTATCATCGAATATCCCGACTATTGCTAGGCCATGCACAGCTGTCAGAGTGCGAAATTCAACTGAAGCGAACGTCATATTTGTGCCATTTTTCGCTTCTCTGAGTTACAACCGACATTCTAAGATTCAAGAAAAGGAAAAGATCAGTACTGACAGACTGCTGCAGAACAAACTGGTTGAATTCTTGAAAAGTCGGGATGAATGGAAGCGATTTGGTGGTAGGGATCATCTCGTTGTGGCTCACCATCCCAATAGTATGTTGGTCGCGAGGAAGAATCTGGGTTCTGCCATGTTTGTACTTGCGGATTTTGGAAGATATCCAGTCGAGATAGCAAATATTGAAAAGGATGTCATTGCTCCTTACAAACATATGGTAAAGACTATAGATGCTGGGAATTCACGCCCGTTTAACGAGCGCCCTATACTCATCTATTTTCAAGGAGAGATATACAGAAAAGATGTAAGTTGCTTAATCTCTTTCTTCTTTCGTATATAACGTTTTTGTGTGATATTGACATTGTTAATGTGTTATTGACATAGCGATATTGCCAATCGAGAGTTTTGTTAAGCTTTGAACTGACTTTGATGGCCATCTTAGTGTGAAGTTCCCATCATTTTAGATAGAGATTTGGGATTTTCGTGCTCTGGGTTTTTCATTTTATGTTACGAGGGGCAGTTTTGCATGACTGAATTGAAGCATGTTACGAGGGGCAGTTTTGCATGACTGAATTGAAGCATGTGCTCCATCTCAACTAAAAGTTATATGCTCAACAGGCCCCCTCACGTGTGCGAGATTCGAACCCATGGCTCTGATACCAAATTGAAGCATGTGCTCCATCTCAACTAAAAGTCTAAGCTGATAGTTGGATTGCACATTAATGGTTATATGCTCAACACTGCACATATCGTTTTTCTTATTGCCAGGGTGGAGCTATTCGTCAAGATTTATACTACCTTCTCAAAGATGAAAAAGGCGTGCACTTCAAGTTTGGAAGCACTCAATCAAATGGTGTCGTCTCGGCTAGCCAAGGAATGTCTTCATCGAAATTCTGTCTGAACATTGCCGGGGACACTCCCTCCTCGAATCGACTCTTTGATGCCATTGCTAGTCACTGTGTCCCAGTGATAATTAGCGATGAGATCGAGCTGCCATATGAAGACGTCCTTGATTACTCTGAATTCTGCATTTTCGTCCGAGCTTCGGATGCTGTAAGGAAGGATTACCTTCTGAATCTTCTTGGAGGAATCCGAGAAGACAAGTGGACCAAAATGTGGAAAAGGCTAAAAGAGCTCACCGTACATTTTGAATACCAGTACCCATCCCAACATAACGATGCTGTGGATATGATTTGGCAGGCAGTTTCGAGAAAGATATATTCTATACAACTGAAGGCTCATCATGATAACAGATACCATAGATCAGAGCTCTTTTTAAAGAAACAATGATGAATGTTCCAAAGATTGTATTATCTATGACAGATATCAGCTCCAGGTTAGGCTTTACCTTATAGAACACTATCATCTGTACTTTTATTACCATTACTCGACTCTAGTAAAAAAAAAAAAATTAAATAAAAGTTAAAATTCTTATTATGAAGCTCAAATATGACTTTTCTGCTTTAACATATATCAGCTTTTCTTTTACTGCTAATATAGTAGGTAAAAAACCACTGTGTGTAGTGTACCCTTAAATCCTATTGAGTTAGATGGTAAAACTGCTTTATTTGCTTGAGTCTTCATCAACTTTCTTTTGGAAATATTTTGCCTTAAAAACAACCAGACACTAATAATGTATTTGTGTTGGCGGGAGGCTAATAAAGGGCCAAGTCTAGCAATTGGTGGTTAGGAGGATTGTTGGGCGGAGGTCAGTGAAGGGTTAAGTCTAGCAATTGGTGGCTAGGGGATTGTTGGACAGATGCCAGTGAAGGGCCAAGTCCAGTGCCCTGCGTTTCAAAAATGTGGTGGGGACACTAATAATGTATTTGTGTTGGGCGGAGGCTAATAAAGGGCCAAGTCCAGCAATTGGTGGTTAGGAGGATTGTTGGGCGGAGGTCGGTGAAGGGTCAAGTCTAGCAATTGGTGGCTAGGGGATTGTTGGACAGATGCCGGTGAAGGGTCAAGTCCAAGTGTCCAACACCCTGCGTCTCAAAATGTGGTGGCGGTATAAGGAAAAATGTTGCGTCTTCGCTACAAGCTATAGTTTTTGACGTAGTGGTAAGGGTTTGATCCTAACAAGCGGTATTAGAGTCAGGTCAAGCATACTGATAAGCACTTGATCCTAACAATTTGCTGGTCGGTAAATAAATATGAGAAAGGTAGAAAGCAAAATGTAGCACTACCAGAAACAGGACCAGGAAATTAAACATAACATAGGAAATGAAATATTTGTGTAGAAATGTAGACTATAGTGAGTATGGCTATCCTAGTTTATGAACTCGAGTGTCTAACTTTACACACAAGGAAGGTATTGCTAGGCATTAGCATGCACTACACTTTTAGATTGAACGAGATTCATTCTTTTTCCTGCTTTAAAACGAAGACCTTCAACTAAGAAACAAATTCTAATAATATATCAACTTACCTACAACAAAAACGTTTTCGAGGAAGCAGAAATTGCCCAAACTTAGTTTCCGGATTACTGAAGATAATGCACCCACCTCCTTTGTTTTGCTCTTGAACTTGTTCTTGTTTTATCCATCATAATATCAGCATTTATTGTGGATGGGGTTGGGTCCTCTTCGTACTCTTCTTTTGTCTGATTGATTTGGATCGAAGGCCATTGAAGATGCCGGGGATGTATTCACCTGCATATGCAGGTCTTTCATGGCCTTTAAACCCCGGGAATTCCTCTCAAACCTTGATTTACTTTCTTCCCATCTGATACCAGAAACCTTTTCTGGGTGGATGAATAAGAACCCAACACAAAGAACTAGAATGATCAGCCTACAAGAAGGGTGGCACATTTTTTTTTTTTGCACCAGAAGAACAAGAAATGCTATGACTCTTGTCTGCTATAACCAGAGGACAAGTGAAAGGGTATGTGGAGGCAATCTCTGTTTGTTCTTTGCCTTGGCATCTTTTATGGGATTTTTGCAGGACTGGAAGAATAAAGAACACAGTGGGGCCCAAAACATCCACAGAAGTTTTAAGATTCACATCAATCATTTGCCTGCAATATAAGGCTGCTTGACAGACAGGTTTGAATGAAAAGTAAGTTGGTAACTTGTTATGCCATTCTTAGGAAGCCAAGAATCTTTAGATGGGTTCCCCACATCCCTTTCAGTTCCCTTGGTATGTTGAACCCTTTGCCAATTAGCATGTATCACTACGTCAAAAGTTATAATCCCTGGCCTGGTTCTCGTACCACTTATTAGGGTCAAACGTTTACCACTATACTGATACTACTCGTTAAGATCAAACGCTAGTGAAGATGCAACTTTTATTTCTATATACTGTCACATTTTTGAGAGGCAAATTGTTGGACTTGGCTCTTCAGGCCTCCGCCCAACTACCAATTGCTATACATGGCCCTTCACCAGCCTTTGTGTTGTTGTACTTGGCCCTTCACCAACCTCTGTGTACTTGGCCCTTCAAGCCTCCGCCTAACTACCAATTACTGTACTTGGCCCTTCACCATCCTATGTTCAACACAGATTATGCTTTCCTGTTTTCCAACACTTAGCAATCAAACTTATAACATATGGGTTTCGCTAAAGAAAAAAAAATTGCATTAAACTACACGAAATTGTATTTATGTATGTATAAGGACAAGAAATAAGGCAGGCAAAGATGAGATAGGTACAGATGCAAGAAAGACAGATAAAGAAGAGATGTTGAGCAACGGGAGGAATAGGAAACCTTTTCAAAAGAAAATCCAAGAATTTGCTTTACTCTTTGGAATTCCAACCTCTTTTCTCCATGCAACAAATTAAAAACCCAAATAATTTGTTTTCTTATGCTTTAGTGCTTTTTCTTGCTCTCTTTAGCTGCACTTCTTGCAGCCTATATATACAAATTTTCACTACCAAAACTCTTTGATTAGGCTTAGGCAGACCTAGAATTAGGTAAGCTTAGCTTACTTGGTGATTGATCAAAAATTTGCAGTTGACAACATTGTAGCAGAATGGCCATCATCCTCCTTTCATGCATAGTATCATCAACCGTATAGAGCTTTCCAACTTCCAAGGGATAAGCCATTTTAAATTCTAACACAGTCATGGATTAGTGAAGCTGCTATTTTTGTATTTAATTTAAATTTCAAGCTTTGAAACTTTGAAATTGGCTCCAATTTCGAATGGTAACTGCCTGAAAATTCAAATGTTAACTACCGCTAACCAAAATACTCTAGTGATCTGGTCGTGGATTAGTGTATACTTTGGATTAAGGTGATTTAAGACGTACTTCATGAGAAGTTATAAGAATTATCATTTACAATTTTCATGGTTTGAGTTTTCAAAAATTCGAAAGATATCAAGATAACACACACTATCATGTTTAGAGGTTAATTTTATAGTACTTGAATTTATAATGAATCCTGAAATGAGAGCTTGTGTTTAATTGTTATCTTTTACTTTATACAATTTTTTATCTTTTAATTTAATTGTGTGCTATCATTGTTCTTAAATTAATTTTTTTTTTTTTTTGAAAATTACGGACTCTATTACATACTTTCTCAACCTGTTCCACTGAGACTCGATCTCATGACCTTCCATATGGGAGAATCACTACGGCTTTGTTTGGCAAACCTAGCTGAAAAGCTATAAGCTAGGAGCTGATAGCTGAAAAGGAATTGAAAGCTGAAAAGCTATAAGTTCGGAGTTGAAAATTGAAGAGCTGTTAAGCTAGCTATTATGATTGAAAGTGTTTGGTAAAATTAGCTTTTTGATAAGCTGATAAATGTAAAAAGACTAAAAAGGACATCTTCATAAAATTTAAATTAGTTTGTTTACATATTAAAATTTAACATTTCGTCTTCCAAAAAAAGTAAACACTTTTTAAAATAAAACTATTAGCATGATCATGATCTAGCATCCCATAATGAAGTAGCAATATTGTTGCGAATCTCCTTCATTTCCATAGAGGTGTGACTTAAATTTTCGTTGATGGAGATATTACTACTTGAATGGGCGGTATGTAATCTGGATGCTGCTCAAGCACATTAAACATCATGTCATCTTGTGAATTCTTCCGAATATAATTATGTAGTGCAAATGTGGCCATAATAACATCAATTTGTGTCTCCTCACTAAACTGCAGCATTTTAGCAAGTATCTTCCATCTCTTATTCAATACTCCAAACGACTTCTCAATACAACTTCGAAGAGAAGAATGTGCACGATTGAATGCTTCTTGAGCATTAGTTGGGGGGCTCTTGTTCAATTTGAGATTGAAGCCATATTGCTAATTTTAAAATATCATTAATAACAATAATAATAATAATAATAATAATAATAATAATAATAATAATAATAATTAAATTTCTACCCTTCTAATCTTCTATCGCTTCCCCAACTCCCCATTCCCCACGCCCTAGCTCAGGCACTCAGCCGACAGAAGACGAGACACGAAGACAGTCAAGTAGTCTCCGGTCTCTTTCAATTTACTTAGCCGACAACTATCAATTATGTATGGATAAAACAAAGTAGTTTATTTTTAATTGGAACATTAATTTAAAATCAAACAGGTCAAATTTGAAGTCAAAATCAAGCCCGAATTTGAACCCAAAATCGAGCAAGAACTCGAGTTCAAGATCGAGCTCGACAATCGAGCTGCCTGAAAATTATCGAGCTCGAGCTCGAGCATCACTTGTTGAGCTCGATCGAGCTCGAGCTCGAACTCGAGCCGAGCCTTCCTTAACGACCTCAAGCTCAAGCCAACCCAAGCTCGAGCTCGGCTCGACTCGTTTACACCCCTAATCTCTCTAAGAAAAAAAAAAAGAAAAAAAGAGTATTGACACGTAATCCAATATGTTATGGTTTGTTAGAGCATCCACAATGGTTGGGAAGAATTGGGGGATAATGTAAGAGTGATTAGGAGAGAGAATATGGGAATGGGAGAAAAAAAAACAAAATAAAAACCAAAAAAAAAAGGGTCCGGCGCGCCTGACGCGCCCGTGTGGGTTGCTGCTGTGTGCAAAACGCGCACAACAGCCCATGTTTTTTTTTTTTTTCCTTCTTCTTTTCTGCCATTATCCTCAATTTTGCAGATGAATTCTTCCCAAATTTATTCTCCCCCACATTAGCTATAAACTTGAATTGAGTGAATTAATGCTGCATTCTCCCCACATTATTTACTGATGTAGATGCTCTTAGGTTGATGGTATAAAGTCTTTAGGCTGAAATTATCCATGCAAATCTCTCCCACTTTTTAAAATGGGTCTCACTTCCATATTATTAATTTTATAAATTCTTCACTATTTATTCTACATCCCTGCAAATCTCTATCACTTTTTAAAATGAGTCTCACTTTCATATTATATTATTATAAATATAATAATAAAATAATATGAAAAAATAAAAATAGAAAAGAAATCAAGGCTGTCATTTTCAGTTTTACAAGCTTTTTCTCATTTACAAATTCTCTCTCTTATGTTAATTTAGCTAAC